TCCAATAGCAAGTACTTCCCAAGGACAATCACTGAACCTTCCTAATCAAGGTTAAATATTATAAACAATCTTAAATAAATATTGTCATTTTAGGTACAACATATTATAATACCATTATCTAAGCACAAATTTTAAAATAGGTGATATTCCAATAGCAAGTACTTCCCAAGGACAATCACTGAACCTTCCTAATCAAGGTTAAATATTATAAACAATCTTAAATAAATATTGTCATTTTAGGTACAACATATTATAATACCATTATCTAAGCACAAATTTTAAAATAGGTGATATTCCAATAGCAAGTACTTCCCAAGGACAATCACTGAACCTTCCTAATCAAGGTTAAATATTATAAACAATCTTAAATAAATATTCTCATTTTAGGTACAACATATTATAATACCATTATCTAAGCACAAATTTTAAAATAGGTGATATTCCAATAGCAAGTACTTCCCAAGGGCAATCACTGAACCTTCCTAATCAAGGTTAAATATTATAAATAATCTTAAATAAATATTGTCATTTTAGGTAACATATTATAATACCATTATCTAAGCACAAATTTTAAAATAGGTGATATTCCAATAGGTGATATTCCAATAGCAAGTACTTCCCAAGGACAATCACTGAACCTTCCTAATCAAGGTTAAATATTATAAACAATCTTAAATAAATATTCTCATTTTAGGTACAACATATTATAATACCATTATCTAAGCACAAATTTTAAAATAGGTGATATTCCAATAGCAAGTACTTCCCAAGGGCAATCACTGAACCTTCCTAATCAAGGTTAATTATTATAAACAATCTTAAATAAATATTCTCATTTTAGGTAACATATTATAATACCATTATCTAAGCACAAATTTTAAAATAGGTGATATTCCAATAGCAAGTACTTCCCAAGGGCAATCACTGAACCTTCCTAATCAAGGTTAATTATTATAAACAATCTTAAATAAATATTCTCATTTTAGGTACAACATTTTATAATACCATTATCTAAGCACAAATTTTAAAATAGGTTATACTCAAAGTCATTCAGCTTACACATCCCCTCTTTGCTCATATATCTCCCCATATATTCCTGATTTTCAAAGTAACATTTTTATAACAAATCAATTTAATCTATAAAATATAGATGCTCTTAACATATCAAATGATTTCTATACATCTCCTCTTAATTCAGAAATAGAAAGTAATAATTCTTAATGAAAATATATATATCACTATATATATAGGCAATTATTTTTTAGAAAATATGGATAATTATGGATTTGCAGAATCTCTAATAGATTTTAATGAAAATATTCATATTTTTGGTAAATTTCTATATAAACTTCTAAAAAATTTCTTATATTTAGAGGAACCGACATTTATCGATAGCCAAAAGGGCAAATCATTGCTCTTTTTTCAAAATTTTCTTTACCGTTATAACGGTACATACAGGAATACAATTTACTATCGTTGCTTAAAAGCTGATTGTAAAGTGACGTGTAAATATATTCAGGGATACACAATATCCAAAATGCACGAACATCAAAATCATGCTATACTTTTTCACAAATTAAAAACTTTGCAAACAGTAAAAGCAACGGTACAACAAAATCCTTTAGATACAAGGATGAATATCTATCTAAAGGCATTAAACCAACAATGCTCTGAAGATCCAGATATAATCAATTATCCAGGAGCCTTACCACCTTTTATTTCCGTTAAAAATACGATTAACCGTGTTTTAAAACAAACCAGGCCAAATATTCCCATTAGCAATGACACAATTGTATTGACCACTGAATTGATAACAACATTCAGTGGTGATAGCTTCTTAATTAAAAACAATAATAACAAACTTATTGTATTTGGGTCTGTCATGTTAGTCAGTTTATCTTCTTATACAAAATTCATTTATATGGATGGGACTTTTTACACATGTCCACGTTTTTTTAGCCAATTATATACTATACATATCATGTATAATCAAACGATGATCCCTATCATATATGCACTTCTTCCAGATAAAAGGAAGGAGTCCTATATTGAGCTATTTCAAATAATCGTGGAATATGGGACATTGAATGGTATCCAGTTTTCACCAGAAATGGCACAAACCGACTATGAAGCAGGAGCGATATCTGCTCTACAATTTGTATTTCCCAATATTTTAGTAAAGGGTAAAGTTTAAATTATATATAGTTGTATAATTTATTTTTAGGCTGCTTCTTCCACTTTACGCAGGCCATTTGGCGTAAAGTTCAGCATTTAGGTTTAGTCAAGCAGTATAAAGAAGAGACTGCTGTATACACTATTGTTCGAAGGATGAGTGTATTACCTTTATGCAAGAGAGAGGACATTCAAGTAGTCCGTGATTCTTGTGTAGATCTAGCAGCCAATGACCCGTTAATATTAAGTTTCTTAATATATATGGATACTACCTGGATAAATTCTGATGCAATCTTTCCTCATCAAATTTGGACCAGGTAATTATTTCATTTTTATTAATTCCTCACAATTTATATAAAAGTTTATAATATTTTTAACATTTAATACATTGTTTGGTGTTAGGTATAAGATTCAAGGTCCTCGCAGTAATAATCATCTTGAAGGATATCACCATTCCCTCAAGCGAATGGCAAAAAATGCTCATCCGGACATATATTCATTAATTCGCGTTTTAAAAGATAACCAACGCCTGACAGAACTTAAAGTTATACAAATCAATAACGGGGAAATAGTTACGGAGAAAAATAAAAAATATGTGATAATTAATAAAAAAATTGTAAACTTAACAGCATTATATGATATTACTTCTAATTTTTTTTTTTTTATTGATAAAGTGTCTGATTTAATAAAATCATATTAAATATATATTATTAAATTTAAAATAGTTGTAGATATATTGTTAATAAAAAATTTAATATAAAATTGATAAAAAAGACCAATATACTTGGTGTTTGATATGATACTTTATTTTTTTTTTGTTTACATGACAAGATTTTCACTGGATGTAGATATCTATCATAAATCTATATACAGCGTCTACATGAGCGGGAGAGGTAGGAACAGTTTGCATCCTATTTTTTGAAGGGGTGGGTGGTAGGCTGCCTTAATGGGGGTAGGATAAAAATATTTTGGGGTTATCTATTAAATCTTGAGATGAAATAAGACAAAATTTATTGCTGTAAAAATTAATAATTTTATTATGGAATTATTATAATACAATTCATCGACCAAATCTATATATTGCAAACAATCATACACATTGTTTTCCAAATAAACTATCCTTTTAAATGTAATTTAAGGTTTAGATATTTCAGCAAGCTCATAATGCCATAATAATTAATTCATTGTAAATAATGGGAGTTTTAATTGAATTTATTATCTAAAAATAAATTCTTTATATTCACAAAATATCGATAGATGGTAGTAGAGATAGATTAATTTAAGTTATCCTTTATAAATTCTTTGAAAAGAGTATCAATAAATTAAATAGGTAAAAATAATAATAAAAAGAACGCATACTTAATAATATTATATATATATATATTAAAATTTATTATAATATCCCCCTTAAAATATATATTTGTTATTAAGTATTGAATATAACTATTGATAAAATCTTTTATTGCCATTTAAAATATTTTTGTAAAACGCCTTGTTAATAATATAATTTATAATTATATACTAAAATTTATTAAAATTTCTCCCTTAAGATATATATTTGTATTAAGTATTTTATCTATTGATAAAATTTTTTAATGCTTTTTAAAATAATTAAAAATTTATAAAACGCATACTTAATAATATTATATATATATATTAAAATTTATTATAATATCCCCCTTAAAATATATATTTGTTATTAAGTATTGAATATAACTATTGATAAAATCTTTTATTGCCATTTAAAATATTTTTGTAAAACGCCTTGTTAATAATATAATTTATAATTATATACTAAAATTTATTAAAATTTCTCCCTTAAGATATATATTTGTATTAAGTATTTTATCTATTGATAAAATTTTTTAATGCTTTTTAAAATAATTAAAAATTTATAAAACGCATACTTAATAATATTATATATATATATTAAAATTTATTATAATATCCCCCTTAAAATATATATTTGTTATTAAGTATTGAATATAACTATTGATAAAATCTTTTATTGCCATTTAAAATATTTTTGTAAAACGCCTTGTTAATAATATAATTTGTAATTATATACTAAAATTTATTAAAATTTCTCTCTTAAGATATATATTTGTATTAAGTATTTTAACTATTGATAAAATTTTTTAATGCTTTTTAAAATAATTAAAAATTTATAAAACGCATACTTAATAATATTATATATATATATTAAAATTTATTATAATATCCCCCTTAAAATATATATTTGTTATTAAGTATTGAATATAACTATTGATAAAATCTTTTATTGCCATTTAAAATATTTTTGTAAAACGCCTTGTTAATAATATAATTTATAATTATATACTAAAATTTATTAAAATTTCTCCCTTAAGATATATATTTGTATTAAGTATTTTATCTATTGATAAAAATTTTTAATGCTTTTTAAAATAATTAAAAATTTATAAAACGCATACTTAATAATATTATATATATATATTAAAATTTATTATAATATTCCCCTTAAAATATATATTTGTTATTAAGTATTGAATATAACTATTGATAAAATCTTTTATTGCCATTTAAAATATTTTTGTAAAACGCCTTGTTAATAATATAATTTGTAATTATACACTAAAATTTATTATAATTTCTCCCTTAAGATATATATTTGTATTAAGTATTTTAACTATTGATAAAATTTTTTAATGCTATTTAAAACAATTATTAAATTTGTAAAACACATGTTTAATAATATTATTATGAATTATATATATTAAAATATATTATATTCTCACCCTTAGATTTATATTTGTATTAAGTATTTTATATAACTATTTGTTGTCTTTAATTTTTATTTTTTTAGTGGTATTTTAATTTTTAGCGATTATTACTTTAGCGATTTAGGACGGGAACCTATTTTTTTACCTGCAAATGTTAGCAAATGAACCTTTAAATCTGGAAAATGGTACCTTTTTTTCTTAAGTAATATATAATTTATTAATTTAAAAGATATATCGAGAATTATTAATATCCTAAATCAATTACAAAAGGTACCAGATGCACCAGTTCAAAAATTAATATCTTTAGAAAGTGTATTAAAGAGTGATTTTTTTAATGCTGTGAGAGAGGTGTATGAACACGTTTATCATACTGTAGATATTGAAGGGAGTCCAGAAATAAGAGCAAATGCAACAGCTAAAGTAATTTTTAACTTTTTATAACTATTATTTATGCATATATTTATATGACAATAACTTCTAATTCCTTATAATTTAGAGTCAATGATGTTAGCTTTGAGATCTTTGGTTTATCTATATATAAATTATAATAAACATTATATAATGGTATAATTTATTTTTAATTTTAGCAATAAATAAAGAAAATGATTAAGTTGTATAAAAGATAGAAAGGTCAATTTATTTATAGCTGATTTTCAACTAATGTGATTTTATTATGTCTATTAATAAACTATATATTCATCATGAACAATTTAAATCATAAATTTTAAGTACTATAGTTGTAAATTTAAAAAATTCAAATATTATGATTAACAAATCACAAAAAAATTGTGAATCTAATTTTAAAATTATGATGTGTCTTATTTAAATTCAAAATCAAATCATAACCTACTTAAAAATTTCTCCTTATTTTATCAAAATTTAGCATTCTTAGCCATGTTTGTTAGCTCCCTACTCATTTCTCACATTAGGAGTCTCCCACAATTTTTTCCTTAACATGCACAGAACTAGTGTTGTTAAATAGCCCAATTTTTAAAAATTTAGACAAAATATATTATGCAAACTTGGGAGTTTTGCTCATAAGTGACAGAAAAGTTTATTAACAAATTCTCTAGACTTGCCTAATATTTTTTGGCCAAAATTGAACTTGCCATTTTTTAAAAATTAAGCCAATTAACAACATTACAAAGAACTCTACAACAAACAATTTGCTCTCATATATTATTAAATGAATAATAATTATTTTTATAATTAACTTAAAAAGAGATATCAATATATATGTCTAGTTTATTTAATAAAAAAAAAAAGAATTGTTTAATTAAAAAATGAGAATTGAGAAAATATTTTAGAACCCTCCTCCTTCTATTATAGGCTGGTTTTTAAATTATAATGATAAATATGTTTTAAACTATAACATGATACAAATACAACATTTTTTATTAATTCTGTACTTAAAGCAAAAGAATAATTGTTTGATAATATTACTAACTTTTAAATTGATATCTTTAAAGAAGTCATCTCATCAATATTGCTGATTTTTAGCATTGTTTAAGAAAAAAAATTAGATAACACAAATCATTAAAAAATTAAGCTAGTGCTGTAAACGTTACTTCAAAAAAGAACACATTACTTTTTACATAAAAAACACATTACTGTTACTCATTACCTTGCAAAAAAAATATAATAAAATTATACAAAGATAATATATTATAAGATGAGATCTTTTTATAATAATTTTTTTTACTTATTTATAACAATAATTGATATTCAAATTTTGGTCAGATAAACAAGAGAGTGCTCCCACATCATTTGCCATGTTAAAGGCACATTCGTTCAGCTAGTGCAGAGGATGGGAGGGGTGTATTATATTTATAAAAATTTAAATTGAGGAAGAAATTAATTTTTATTTTGAAAAAAGCTTAGATCATCTTCAAAAGTCAAAATATTTTTATCTTTATTGGAAAATAAACTGGTATGTATGTTTGTTTTTAAAGGAATCAAAATCTGTTTTTTCTTTGTCAAGATGTATTCGCAAGCTGGAAATAAGTTCAAGCTTTCTACCTTGTAGCGGGTGAATTATTGCAAATTCAGGTTTGGTTCGGATTCCTGTTTAAATAAATATATTTAAAAAAAAATAACCATTAATATAAATTATCTCAAAAAAATAATATAAGATCAATAAACTTTAACCGTCCAATATTTAAAAAATACTATAAAATCAAAAAACGTTAACATAAAATATTATTTAAAAAATATATCTAACAAAATCTATAAAATAAATTTTTAAATGATAAATTCCTCTCAAATATATAATAAATTAATATCAAATAAATAATAAATTAATCTCAAATAAATAATATATTTATTAATTTGTAAAATAGAATATACAGTAAAAATATGATTTGTTGTAACACTTTCCATAATGTGAAAAAACATTCTTATATAATTCCATAATTATTGTAAAAACTTGTTGAGATTTTTTTAAAAAACCTTTAAAAACTTGAAAAAGATTATTATTTTTAAAAACTTCCGGTAATTTTACTTAAATTAAAACTTTTGCGACAATTTTAATTTTAAACTTCTAATAATTTTTCATAAGTTATAAATTTTTTCCGATTTAAAACTATATATTTCTATTTTTTAAATGTCAAATTTTACTATCGCTAGTATTTTGAATCTATCTTTAATTTCAGGTTTGTTAATGTAATATTCGATTATTTAAATTATATATATATAATTTTAGAAATCTGAAATAGAGCAAGGATAATTAGTGAAAATTATCTAAATATCATATTTTTACCACCCTATTTGCCAAAATTAAATTCGATTGAGAATTTTTTCAGAATTATTAAAAATCAATACCGATCGAATTCTTCTAAACCCATTAACCGAATAGAAGTTATTGAATTGTTAAGAGTGTTTTGAGCAGTTATTTTACATACAATTTTTCAAATTTTTATTCTCACACCACAAAGTTCAATGAAGATGAAATTTGATGCATTTCTTTAAACAATTGAATTAATTGATTTGTATTGTGTAATATTTTATAATGGTTTTTTTTTATTTTGGTGTCTCGAATTGATCATAAAAAAATCTAAATAAGAATTATCTGAAAACCCTAAATTCCAATTTTCACTCATGTTTATTAAGAAATTATACAAATTTCTTATCCCGATTTCCATTCTTTAGATAACTAAAAGTAATTAATATATTGTAATAATATTTTAGATTTAAAATAATTTATGTATTTTCGTAGAAATTTTTTTTTTAAATTCTCATTTTCCCACTTAAATTTATGTCCAAAACATAAATATACTATATTCGATTCATAATTTTGACGTTAGCCTTCATTAAAGTTTAAAAACTTATTATTAAAAATTTTGTCAAAATGTTTTTTACAATAATTATGGAAAGTTATTTAACTATATAAGAAAGTTTTTCACATTATGGAAATGTGTTACAACAAATCATATTATTACTGTATTGCCGAAATAATAAATTCACCCAGCCTACCACTATAACACATTGCCGAAAAAACAGGCAATGTACATATTGCCGAAAATAACACATTGAAGCTAAAAATATACATAAATTTTAATATGATTGTGTACAAAATTACAATAAAAATATATAATTAATTTAATCTTTATTTATTATTTGATACAATATGTTTTATTTCCATGGCGATTGATTATGCCTTTTTTGGATTTATGAATATTGTGAGTTCTTTTAAAATATTAAATTTTTTCCACATTCTTTTTGAGTATGATGATTTAGAAGTTTAATAACCTATAATATAAATGAAGGAACGCAACAAACAGTAAATGCTCCCTTTGTAGAAGTCTTACGCAAATAGACAAAAAATAAAATTTTAGCTCAATTTATCAAGGCATCTACTAAAAGTAGTTAATTGATTGGAACTCCAAATTTTGATCAAATTAGGGTGTCCAATTTAACAAGAGTCCGGATTAAACCGGTTTGATTTTTTTACCGTTGTTACTCATACGAAAACTAAATTATTCGATTCAAAATTTAAAAATTGAATATGAATATTTAATTATTCTAATTTTTTATAGGCTTATTCAATTCTACTTCTAAGAGATCCTTAAAATACTTAAAAGTTGTCACTAGTTACAATGATTGATTGATAGGAAGCGTCACCACCAATTGTTTAAATTATTTTATAAATCATAGACTCCAATTTTTTAAAAATTTTTATTTTTACACTTAAAAATTGAAGGCAACTGTAGCCTCGTTTGCCGCTAGCGAGGGTCTATCTCACCCCCGGGTCGTCGAGTTGCCCAAAACAGCCGAAGGATTGGGATTCAACATAATGGGAGGCCAAGAACAAGCTTCCCCCATATTCATATCCAGAATCATTCCCGGGGGAGTAGCTGACAAACACGCCCTTATCAATTCGAAAGAAACCAAAGGTGACGGCGGCCTCAAAAGAGGAGATATGCTGATAAGCATCAACGGAATAGTTATGAATTATTATTATATTATATATCAGGCGCGTATGCAGAAATTTGCTATGGGGGGGGGGGGGGTTAAATTAATTTTTTTAGAATTATTCTAGGAGTTATTTAAGATCCTAAGTTTCAGAAATTTATTAGGACACCTATAAAATGACAATAATGATAAAATAAATGTATATAATCTGAGTATCTTTGTAAAAAAAGGATATATGTTTATAAACATTTAAAATTTGATAATTTAAATTATATTTTAAAAATAAATGTTGGAAATATTGATTAATGCACAAATATATTCATATAAATTATTGCATGTATTTTAACTTACAAAGCATTAAAAAAATATGGTGTATTAAAAAATGGGAAATATAATTAAGGAATTTAATCTTCAATAGGATTGATTTCAATAGCTTCATCAAGGCTTGGTCTCTCCCTATGTATAGTTATTCAATTTATTTTCAGAGGCAGTACTTGTCAGTAGTGTAGTTAAAAGGCTAATATGAAACGCTAAAGTTTGGATATCTAATATTTTTTATGACTAAATATTGAGTTAGCCGTTTTTAAAAATCGAGTCATTTAACAACACTATTTCTCAGGTATGTTTTTATTCTTGTTAAAAAATAAAATTTTATTTGTATTAATGGGTAGAGTTAATAAAATATTTAATCATTTTAATATATTTTAGAAAAATAGTCTATAATGTCATTTTTTGGAATATTATCAACCAATTTAACCTTTTATATCATTATTTGCATTCAGCTATGGATTAAAATCCTCACAATAAAAATCTCCCGAATTTGGGCTGTGCCGATATTTAGCGTTTTCTAAAAATATCGGATCGGGCCGATATCTGAAAAAACCAGATCCGATCTTTTTACTTTTCTTTTTTTATTATATTATGTTATGTACATTTATTTTACATTATTATAATATTTTCTAAATAATTTTTTTTAAACAATGCTAATGCACAACACTCTCTAAATTTTATTTCTTTTTTTAAATAGATTTATAGTATTTTAAAAGTTTTTTTTATAAATATAGAAAGGAACATCCAAAGTTTTATTATTTTAAATCTTTTTAAATAATAGAATTTTATTAATTATACTTTAAATAAAAGAATATTTTTAAATATGGTATCTGAATTATGGAAATATTTTACAAAAGATAAAGATAATTTTGCAAAATGCGTTTTCTGCGGAATCATCTGAGTCTGCCTTCAGTACGGCAAGGATATAGATAGTCCATATCTTAGAAGCCTATTGCCAGAAAATCTAGAGGATCTCAACATTAAAATGAAATTTTTTTAAAAAAAAATCCGGGTCGGGCTGTATATTTTTAAACCAAATATTTGAAATCGCCATTATTAGCTATAAAAATCAAAAATAAATAAAATATATTTTAAAAAAGGGCCGTGCCTAAAAATAGCCGGGCTGTAAAATTTTTGAAAAAAAATCCGGGTCGGGCCGTTCATATGCTACCTCTGCAGATCTCAGGCTCTCCTATTTATTAAAAAAATCGAATATATTATAATTTTATATATTAAATATTACCATTTTATAATTCATACCAACATAAAATGGATATATTATTAAGTAAAATTTTTTTTAATTATAGTTTTAATTATAAAAATAAAAAAATTAAATTAAATGCATTATTCGATTTTTTGCATAAATAATATTGATTTCTTAATTACATTTGGATCAAAGGGAGGTGATGAAAAATCAGTATAAATATGGGGTCGGTATCGGATCGGTTTTGATGCAATGTCGGAATATATCGGATCGGATCGGTGAAAAATATGTGGATCGGCACAGCCCTATGCCAAATATATATTTTTTTAAGATTTGAAAAAGATTTGTAATCTGCAGTAATAATAATTGCAAATTTGTAAGTGCTGCTTTATTAATCGCAATTTTTGTTATCCAAAGAGGAATATAAAGAGTTATTTTATAGTATTCTTCTATATTAATATTGGAACGATGGATTTGCTTTGCTGCTAGTTGAAGTAGGCAAATATTAAAGTTATAGGGCTCTGCTTTTGACTCGTTTAATATAATTTATGAAATTCGTCCTACATTGGCCCTAATTTCCTTAAGCTTGAATATAATTTTTCCAAGTATTCTCATAGTTTCAATCAAATCGAAGCTATTTAGTTTTGCAGTGAAAAATTTTCAAATTATTTGGTGGGAAATTTTAAAATGGTAGATAAATATAACGCCAAGGAAAATTTAAATCGATATTAATTCATAGAATAAATTAGTAGCATACTTATTTTTGCCGTGAATGTGATAAATAAATGTAAATTGGAATATATATGCGATAATAGGCGGGAATGATTATTATAAAAATAAATTAATAATCATTAAACAATAAAAAAATATTTTAGTCGACATCTGGATTTTTTACTGAGGGTGGAGTGTTCATATCACTTTTTTGGCTAATATCGAGGTGGTGTATTAATGCAATTTTTAAATTAAAAAATTCGAAAATATGCAGGCCAAGGTTTAAGAATAAAAATTCAGCCCATCCATAATTATATAATAAGATTACGTCAAGCAGCTTAGAAAAATTAATAATTTATATTTTTAAAACATTCATATAAAAAATTAGTCAAGTTTAATAATATATAAATAAATTTTAATATGTTTTGCTGCTTCCTCTTGAACATTTAAAAAAAAGAAACAAATTTTTGTGCCAAAGAGCATTCGCTTTTTATGCCTCCTCCAATATGGAAAGTAGGTAACGCAAATAAAATTGAAGTTTTAAAAATTGCAGTGTCGGATCTCTGCCTTTAACTTTCAGATAGGATTTGCATGTTTGAATTAATAAAAAAATTTTGAATTAAAATTATGATCTAAATTAATTCTCTATTTTGCTTTAAATGATTTATTATTTTTGTTATTTTTGTTTTAAAATAATATTTTTGCATAAATTAATTGCTAAATTACTTTAAATAATAATAAAAATTATATATTCAGAATGTAAAATTATAAATGTAAATATTGATAACATGATAAAAATGTAAAATACTCTTAAGTCAATTCAATATTGCTAATTAAGCAATGTCTTATTTACAAATTTTATAGAAAAACAGATTTTTTTAATGTAACAAAATGAATATTATCCCCAGGTCATATTTTTAGGATTATTTTTATTTTATTATAAAATAATTTAAATCAAAAAATTGAATTTTTATAAAATTTTATATAAAAATCATAATTTTTGTCAACCCTACTTTCCCATTTTCATTTCAAAACATTCTGAGAATCTAAAATGTTTTGCAAGGACCTTAAAAGTTCTAGAAAATATGAATTTTTTATTCCGAAATTATCTGTATACTTGAAAAGTCATTCATCCAAAATTATTATTTAAGAGGGGTCCTTATCTGTAATGTTAAATTTATATTTAAAGGGTTTTAATATCGAAATTCATTTTTTCCCTTTTTTATTTTAGAGCGTTGAGGGTGACACTCACGAGAAGGCTGTTGAATTGTTAAAAGCTGCAAAAGGTATTTAGCATATTAATATTGTTATTCTTCCTATATTTCGAAAAAATATTTTGATTAAATTTTTTTTTAAATTAAAAAACAGGCAGCGTCAAATTAGTGGTTTGCTTCACGCCTAAACTATTAGAAGAAATGGAAAGAAGATTCAGCAAACGATAAAACATTTTTATAATTTTTTTTAAAAATTCAAGATATGAGAAATTCGTCACAAATAATTTTTATTGATTTATATAAATAATTATTATTTATTTTTTTGTAATTTTATTTAAATAAAACTAATATTTTCGATATTTTTTATTTAAATTATTTTTTAATCATATAAAATGACGTTGCTATCTTCATATATCTTTAAAATATCTAATTTTCCCCAAAATTAATTTTTTAAATATAATTTACCAACTTTAAATTAAATTACACAAACATGTAGTACTAATGATATTCATATCAAAACCTGCGCTCGAAATTGTAGGCTTGGCTTAGCCTGGATTTTAAAAAGAGTTGCCATTTTTTTAAATTTGGTAATTTTAAATAATTTTGGCTTATTTTATCATTGGTTATTAGTTTAATATAAGAAATAGCATGATTTCTTAAAAAATTTAATTATAAAGAAAATTATAATATATATTTATATTTTAAAAATAACACCACTATAAATAAAATAATTAGTAATTCTATTCAAATTTAAATGTTTTATTAGTCATTATTTAATATTTCCCCTTCTAGGCGAGTTCTCGCTTGAATCTCCAATTTAATCAGCACCATGAGCAAAGCGCTCTTAAAGGTCAAATAATATGTTTACCTCTGCATCATCTGGGGAATTTTCTCTTTGCACACGAACTCTCCAAAGAATTCTCATATGATACGTTCAAATTAGTTAGTTATAAACCTTTTTCCACCACTTTATATCCGATTCTCAGGGAAAAATTATCAGGAAAATAATTATTTAGGGAAATAAAATTCTGTAGAATAAAATCCCTTATTTTTTTTAGATCCTAGAAAAGGTATTTTTATTTGAGAATCAACAAAATAGAAAATAAACTTAAATAATATTTTGACAATAAACACAGATTAATGTTCAACGTATTTATAAAAGTATAATTGTGATAATCAATAGCATAACTAAGGAAGAAGGTTCAAGTTCCCTGAAAAATTTGAAGAGTACCCTGAGAATTTTTAAAATACTTAAAATAAGGTTATTTTCAAAAATTCAGAAATCTTAATAAAAAATTGAGCCCCCTTAGATTGTAAAGGCTAGTGAAGCCATTGTTGATAATGGATATCGTAATTTGAATATTATTTTATCGTGCTAGAAATAATGTATTAATTTGAATAGTAATCAATATTATAATTTAATATTGTAGTTATTATATTTATTATATGAAACAATTTACATGAAGTTTTATGAATTATTCGTAGACGGTTTTTGTTCTATAAAGAATGATTATATATTTTTTATATATTTCTCTTTTTATAATAATTATTTATTGACTTAATATTTTAATAAATTAATTATTTATCCATAATTCATTTATCTTAATTTTTATTAATTGTTTAGTTTTAATGATTTTCTCTCGCTGCGAATTTGTAAATGCAAATCATTTTGTATATATCGCCATGAATTTGAAATTATTTTCGATAAATCCAAAGTAAAATAATTTTTTTTTAAAATAAATACACATTGTGGTTTTGATAATTAATATGATTTAACATAATTTACAAAAATAAAATTTGGAATTAGTTACTCTATATCTGTTTGTATGATGCATCAGAACATTAAAAGATTTTTATGAACATCGTTATGTAATTATATATTGCCAGTATTCTCAATGAAATGATTGTATATGCTCATAGTTGTAAAAAATAATCTTTGCATGAATTAACAAATGCATATTGTGGTAATGATTTAATATATATTTTGAAATGATACATCAAACATCTTCTAAAGATTTGCAGGAACATTATAGGCCATAGGCGTAGCCAGAATTTTACTAGGGTGGAAGCAGCGTCTACATAAGCCGGGGGGGGGGGGATAGGATGTTAATGATAGTCACTACCAGGGATCCAAACCGAAACAAATATATGTTCAGGTTCGGATAAAAATTACGGTCCAGGTTCGGTTCGCAAAAAATAAATATTTCGGTTCGAACCTCTAAAAACAGGTTTGAACATTTTTGTATTCAAATCTACATTCGAATTATGTATAGGGTGGTATATTTTTTATTTCATCATTAAAATAAACATAAAACATTCATTTTTATTAATTGCAGATTATAAATTATATTTTAATTATAAATAATACAAATAAATATCAATTATTAATTTTAATATGAACAATATTTAACTTTATTTACTTTAAAAAATTTTATTAGACCGCACAATTATTATATTTTCAAGATTTCACTCAGATTACATCTATAAAGAGATAGTATAAATTTAATTGTTGAAAAACATCTTTACATACTAACTTGGGTAGCTGGAACTGCCAGTATATTATCAAACAATTTACATAATTCTGGGCATCGATTACTATGATTTCTCCAAAGGTTTAAAATATTCATAGTTTTATTTAACCTAAGTTCTTTAGAAAAATTAACTACAATATTTATTTTTTTGATTATATTTTACCATATACTTAAGGCTTATTCTGCAACATTCGATTAAATATTTTGAGAATTAATTTTAATTTTACCCACGTCATCTAATATAGGATCAAGATTTTTTTTTTAAACCATAACATCAACTAATTTGAATGGTCTGCCATTAAAAGTGACCAACTCAATACAAGCATCGAATTATTTTTTATTTAGTTTTACTGATATTGTTTGTTCTTATTGTGATATTTTGTTAATTTTATCGAATTCTAGATGGTGGTTTCTTTTTATATGACATTCAAGATTTATGATGGCCTTTCATATTTATTTGAATTACATTTTGATAAGTCATTTATAATACTATAAGTAAATAATTTATATATTGAATTTAATTTTCTCTAAACATTATAATTTATAAACTTAAAATATTTAAATAAAATGGCAATATACTAAAGTTTATAAAAATTATGACTGACACATTGATAATAATCTTTAAAACAATTCAAATATAATTATAATTTTTTCAATAAACTAGTAATAAATAACTTACATATTATTTTATAGGCATATTTATGAGGCTCAAACCGGTTCAGAGGCATTTTAGCGGTTCGGTTCAGGTTCGGCTAGAAATTAATTTAGCGGTTTAGGTTCGATAAAAAATACCGGTTTTTAGCAGTTTAACGGTTCAGGTTCGGTTTGGATCCTTGGTCACTACCTTAAGGTAATACCTATCAAATTTGTATTTTGTTTATTTTTCATTTGGATATGCACTACCAAATTTATTTACGATTTTTGGAAAGCCTCTGTGGCCTAGTCGGTAAGAGCGTCACTTACCAATCCGATGGTTATGGGTTCGAATCCCAGCAAGGATCATCGACCACGTTATTCCTTTTTAATATATGTTAAATAATAATGGTCTTATTACATTTTAATAATATTTAGTCGGAATTTAGCAAATTTGGTTGGTATTTAGAAAATTGCTATACGTTGACTTGGTAGTGACTATCATTAACCCTTCAATACACTGATGGGGTATATGAAACCCCAGGCATGCTAGAAATGATATTACATAAAAACGGTTAAATATTATGATCTGGATTCTTCAGAAGCTTCATCAAATATTTAGAATCTATATTCCAAATTTCATATATTTTGGTTGAGTAGTTTTTAAGATATAAACCATTTTGTGACTGATTGGGGTTTGTGAGACCCCACCAGAGTAAATTTGTAATTTTTTAAGGAATTTTTTATTTTAATTTTTAAAATTATAAATATATACTACTATATTATAAAATTTATTAAAACAAGATTTAAATATCTTTTATTTTGAATGAGATATATGAAAAAGAAAACGTAATTTTCTCTGGTGAAGTTATTTTATTTTTCACCAGCTGACTCATTTCTCAAATATCATCTATAATGATTTTTACAGATTCTGAAACTAAATATATAATTATTTAAGATGTAATATCATTAGTTGAAGACAATAAACTTAATATTATTTAGGTAAATATGAAATCAATTATCATAGTATATTTCTCTTTAAAATTAGCTAAAAAAAATAAGTTTACTAAATGGAAAAAGGATCTTCCTAATCAAATAATAAGAACTCATCAACAAAATTTAGTTATTCATCTGCCAGGAGTAAAAGAATAAGTGAAAGAAGCTGACACTCTAGAAAAATGTTTTGACACTGACTATAATATGAAAGTTCTACTAAAGAAGTTGATGTAACACATTTCCAAACATTATTGAGAAATCTTTATTTAGCTGAAATTTTTAAATCTAACCATCAAAATAAAAAAAATAAAAATTTTTTTTCAAATATGTAAAATAAATTTATGTTTAGAACACATTAATGTTTTATATAATAAATGTTTTACATGTCAAATTTAACATATTTCAATATTCTTTATTTTTTTTTATGTTTGAATGTATTAGTATAATTTTTTTTTATATTGATGATTAATGATCCATATTATGAATTATTATGATTATATAATAGATAAGTTATTTTTTTATTTCAATATTTGAAATTTAAAAAAAGTAAGTTTTTTTTAGAAAATTTTGTAACAAATTATAATTATCTTCATCTTCTTTAATCTAAGCTTAAGAAATAAAAATAAATAAATATTTTATCAAGTTTAAGGTTAGTTCTATTTTATATCCAAATATTAAATAAAAATAATGAATATAACTAGAGATATATACATTTGAAATAGGGGTCTATTAAAACCCACCCGAGTACTAACGTCATTTTTTTCACCGGAGTATTGAAGAGTTATTCAGGGTAGGAACAGTTTGTATCCAAGTTTTTTTGAGGAAGGAAGAGAGTAGCCGCCCTTAATGGGAGTAGGATAAATATTATGGTGGTTATCTATTAAATTTTTAAATGTAATAGGGCAAAATATATTGCTGTAAAAATTGATACTTTTATTATAGACCTATTATAATACTATGATATTGCTAATCATCGACCAAATCTATATTTGCTTATAATCATATACATTATTTTCCAAATAAAGCTTTCTGCTATTCTTAATGTAATTTAAAAGGGTATTCTCAGCAAACTCAGATTCATGCCAAACTATATACTATAATAATGCATTAATTTTAAATGTTGAGGGGGAGGGGGGTAAT